TGGATATTTGCAATACTGAATAGGGGCACATTAACAGAGGTGGTGTGGTAGTTAAAGCACTGGACTGAGAATGAGGAAATCCAAATTCCAATCTCCACTCAGCCTGGATGCTCACTGGATAGCCTTAATTCAGTGACCAATCTCTCTGTCTCAGCCACCTCACAAAGTTGTTGTGGCAATACAGTGGAGGTATGTTGCCTTGACCTCATTGGGACATGGTGAAATATAAAGGGAATAAATAAGACAAATGTAGCATCAGTATCTCATTATATGGGTGCAGATGTCTGAACCTCCCCACTTGCACTATTGATCCTAGAGCTTTTATATGCCTTCCCATATATATAGTTGTGTGTGTGTGTGTGTGTGTTGCTCAAGACTTACAACTCTTAAGGCTGTGTACACATCACACATTCAAAGCATGGCCCCATAGAATGCTGGGAGCTGTAGTTTACCCCTTGCAGAGCTACAATTTCCAGCACCCTTAACAAACCACAATCCCCAGGATTCTTTGGTGCCACTATAGCCTTAAAAAATTGCTCAGAGAGATGGGACGGGAAGCTACATATGAACACTTTATGAGTTAGTCATATTCAGTTATGTTAGATGTTCAAAGGCATTACTTACATTTACCAAAAAGATATTTCACCTCTCAAAAGTAATATTTGATAAATTCTTAACTCACAGGACAGTGGTTAATATTGTGGCAAGACTGCTCCATCCTGATTTATAGTTAAGGAGATAAAGTAAGGCATCAAGATCTCTCATGCAGTATAAATGTTTTATGTTTCACTGTTCCTATTTTCCCAGATTGCTTTTCACAAAATAGGGATGAAATGTTCTTTGAAAGGATCCTACGTAGTACTTTTGTTGAGTCATTTTTTTCTTTTACAATTGGACATTTTATTAGGCATGGATTTTGTTCACAAAGACGGGCATGTATATTATGAAGTGACAGTTCTTCGAGAAAATATTACCTTTGTGTGGAAATGTACTAACTTTGGGAGCAATATATCCGCAGTACAGAACTACATTAATGAGATGTTAGCTTTTTTTCCTTAGCATATGCCTCGTTGAGATGTCCGTCTAGCTATAAAATATTTCCTCACCCGTAGATAGAAAATCCCATTCTCCCAATCAATATTTTCTCTCTGTTCTCTTTATTCTTATTCTATTTTAAGAGCACCCTACTTGATTTTTATAGTCCACTCGCATTTATGGCAAGGGGAACTGACAAACTGACTTGCAAAATTCTCTGTTAGCCTCCCAAATGCTCAAACCTCTTATTATTTAAAATCATTTACAAACATCTTAATATTAATTATATATTAATAAACAAAAACAGGATCCCATCTGTGCTGGTCCCGGGGGGAAGTTTACCGTTGTCGTAGTCAAAGTCCAGTCCTGAGTCACTAGCCTGGAAACAGTTCACAAGGAGTGAGGCGAGGTCCAAAGCAGGAAGCCGGGCGGGGACAGGAACACTGGAAGGTCAGAAGCAGGAAGCTGGGCGGGGACAGGAACACTGGAAGGTCAGGTCTGGGTCCGGGTAGGAGCAGGTACTCAGCGACGACGTTGCTCCCGCAACCTGGGACCAGGCTGACTGGCCTTTTATCTTTTCTGAGGCCAGGGGCGGTCCCGGCCCCCAGGAGACCCGCCTCTCCTGGCCTTAAGGCGAGCACTCCTCCTGGGAGCAACCAGTTCCCTTCGCCTCTCTGCCCTGAGCCTCTGCAGTTCAGGAGAGGCTGAAGGCTTACTGGGCCCAGGGGGAGACTCACCTGTAGGCACTGAGTCCTCAACCACCTCTGGAGCCAGAATGGATTCACCTGGTGCCGGCTCCTGAGGATCCGGCACAGGTGCAGGCGCTTCAGAATCAAGGCCCTGCCCCAGTTCAGCCGGCCCTGGAGGCGGGGACTCCTGCGCAGGCTGGGATTCCTCCGGTTCAGCCTCTGAATCGGATTCCCAGGCCATCACACCATCTTTTGGATCAAAGAAAGCATTGGCAAAAAAAAGGGGGGGGGAAGATACATCTTTAGAAGATAACCGTAGCAACGGATGGGTGATGGGATGGAAGAGGTAAGGGGCAATAATGGGAAATATTTATATAATATTAGGCAGAATAGTGGTGTATGGCGTGTTAGGGGAAGGGTAGTACCTCTGGTGGGGGACACATCATACTCCTTCTGGGGTAGCTTGTCCACCCTTGGTTCTCACCATAGGTGCCAACTCCCTGGGGACCCGAGCACCCACAAAATTCCCTATGAAGGGGCTAGGCACCGACAAATTTCAGTGCCAGGGCCATGAACACTGCATGGCACCCATGGCCCCAGGCACCCACAGTCGTGGGGCCAAGTTGGCACTCCTGGTTCCCACCCTGCACTCAGCTTTCACCCTCTGGCTCCCAGAAGCTGTCAGCATGTGACAGCAGTCACACCCAAAGAAAGGCTTCAACTGGCCAGCAAAACCAGGTGAGGGTAGCCAATGGCTCTCAAACCCTCAGTGAGTTAGGGACTTCCCCTGCATGCAAAGACAGGATCCGGGGGATTGAGTAAATGAGACCGATAGTGGGTCCAATGGCTAAGAAGGCAGTTTCTGCACAAGCTGTAGATGGGACTCGTCAAGCTGGGAAGATAACCCATCTAAGAGTAGAAAACCCTGATCCTAAACCTCCACTGCCTTGTGGGACATCTGGGGGTGGGGAAAGGATAAGGAATAAATCCTACACAAATCCAGTGTGGCATTCCTAAGACAGTTGGATGGCACCTTGTATGCCTCCTTCCGGCAACTCCTGCAGCCAAGCTGGTGCCAAATGTATTGCTCTGCTTTCCTTTGGACCACATCAGTGAGGCCAAGAGCAGGGACCTGTCATCAGAACAGCCCAGGCTTGTGCCCCAAACTTCACCCCTAGCAGTTTGACTTCACCCTCAGAGGTGCACTCCATTGCCTCTTGAGACAGATGAATGCCAACCACATGCAGAATAATCTTCTGCATAACTTAACTATGAACTCAGTACTAGATTATGTTGTTGTTTAGTCATTTAGTCGTGTCTGACTCTTTGTGACCCCATGAACCAGAGCAAGCCAGGCACTCCTGTCTTCCACTGCCTCCTGCAGTTTGGTCAAATTCATGCTGGTAGCTTCGAGAACACTGTCCAACTAGATTATAGCTCTGTAGATATAGAGATGCTGGAGGATTTTGATTTTTGCAAACACCAATGTGAACTGACTTGGTCTGCACCTCTTGCCCTTTTGTCCTCGAAGGGTGTATGATGGGAATCCTGTGGCCCTCCAGATGTTTTTGGACCCAATCTTTTCCAGCATGGCTAAGAGAAACAGGTGATGGGGAATGTAGTTAGCAACATCTGGAGGATTGCAAACTGCCTGCCACTGCGCTAGGGAGAGGAGATGATGGTAAACATTAATTCCATGAACTTTCTTAAGTTAACTTATCTGAAGATCCACACTCAATTTGGGGTGATTCCTCTCCAGCGGTTCCCATTCCCCACCTTACATTATTCAGGAGGTCTCCCAAAGTGGCTTTTGGAAAGACACAGGTCATAGCAGAAGCAAGAGGGAATGAGAAACTTTTCTTCCATGAACTTCCTTAAGTTTTGCAAACGTTCTTACCTAAATTTGCTTAGTATCTTGATTTTTCAGTTTTATGCCACAAATGACCAATGCAGGCATGTGTGGACAGGTGGACTATTTAAAAATAAATTAAAATGTGGGCTTATTTCTATGGACTTGTTTCCAGGCTGCTAAATAATTTTAAAAATATATCCTCCAATTTTGTCCCAGACAGCATTCTATTTTAACTGAAAGGGCTAGGCTTAGATTGCCAAATGCTAGCCTGACTTCATTGCCATAGTTCTTCATGCCAAATGGATGAGATGTCTTTCCTTTGATTAACTCACTCTACAGCAGATGGAGTAGAAATGTCATTGATCATTTTATAATTACTTCTTAGATTTCTTAGCCAGTTTATAAAATGATCCCAGACTTTTGGGGCTTTACTTAATGAATTGGGCAAAGTGTGCATTTACCCAGGAGCCAAATGATTAAAATGTGGTATTTGAAGCTCTTATTCTCATTTCTGCAAGCATTTTTTTCTTGTGAAAGGCCATAATAGAAGAGACCCTGTAGTTCTTAGTGACTGTCTGCATGCACTTTTTTATTTGTATACATAGTTATAGAGGGGGGCGGGTGTTAATCACTTATTTCTGTATAACAATGTGCTGGGATTTTGGACTCACTCAACCATTATTCAAAACATTATTAATTAAAATTAGAACAATTTCATGTTGCTTTGAGGACTTGAGCTCATCTAAATCATACTGGAATCTCCAAAAGTCAAGTTTTTTTCTTTGATTGCCTTTAGATAGGATGTCCAGTTAGGTCTGGTTTATATGTTACCTTCACCAAAATAATTTCTGTGATTGCTACATCATTCTAAGTCATGTATATCTCTGCCCACAGTGGATTGCATGGTCATGTACGACACCGGAAAGCTGTGTTTGTAAACACATAACCATGCAGTTCATCTTTACCATTTGAGAATAGGGGGTACATATTGCCTAGATCAGCATGAATGGTTTCCTTGCGATCGATCATTTGATCTTATTTGTATCTGCCTGAGTTCCCTTCCTTTGATCACTTTGCCATATCCTTGCCTGTTCCTTGGTAAGGAACTCCTTGGATAATATACTGACCATCTTGGCTGTGAGTCCTGGAGGACTAACTCCCTGCTTTGAAGGCTTTTTCCTATCTAGCCTGGGAAGGTGGGGCCCTGACTGACTCCAGCTACAAAAAGCCGAGGCTGTTGAAGATGATGATGAAGAAGAAGAGTTTGGATTTGATATCCCGCCTTTCACTCCCTTTAAGGAGTCTCAAAGTGGCTAACAATCTCCTTTCCCTTCCCTTTTATTTTGAAATCTTTAAGATGATATTTTAGTTTCCTGTTAATTATGTTGTGTTGAGTGTATAGTTTATATTTCACTTTCTTCTGCAATGTTTTATTCTGGACTATTTTATCTGATGTTTTAATGTAGGCGCCTACAAATGGACCTTGAGCTTGTCTGGAGGTTCTAGCAGGGGAGCACAGCTACTGTGTATCCTTGACTGAATAGTCATCCTTTTATCTGGGATGGTTGTCCTCTTCCACTGAGTGCACAACTTTGGGAGGGATGTACATGGAGCAGAGAGGAAGGAAGGGGAAACTTGGCTAACCCTGGCAATCAATAGGGTGACAGGTGTCACAGCCAGATCACCCTCACATCCTAATGTAGGCTCTAAACCACTTTGAGTTTTTTCCCCTTAAAAATATAAAGCAGTATAGAAATGAAATGAATAATAATACAGTGGTACCTCTGGTTAAGAACTTAATTCATTCCAGAGGTCTGTGCTTAACCTGAAACTGTTCTTAACCTGAGGTACCACTTTAGCTAATGGGGTCTCCCGCTGCTGCCACGCCACCACCACGCGATTTCTGTTCTCTTTTTTTTTTTTTTTATATAATTTTTTTATTGATTTTACAGACAAGTTTTATACAATACAAACAAATAAAAAGACATACAAACATGTATAGTTTCATAACCTTTTTTTCATAACCCTCTCTTCTCGGACTCCCCCAAACCTCCCCTTCCTACATCCCAATTTCCAAAATTATTTCAGCAAATTCTAAATAATTTTATCAAATATATTTTTCTTATTATTTTTTTTTCTTCAACTTAATCTTATGTCGCTGTAATCTCCTTTTCTTTCTCCAAACCTCGACATTTTAACATTCCTCAATTTTATAATAGTTCTTTAGATAGATTTTAAATTTCTTCCAATCTTCTTCCACCGTCTCTTTCCCCTGCTCACGGATTCTGCCAGTCATCTCAGCCAATGTCATATAGTCTATAACCTTCATCTGCCACTCTTCCAAGGTGGGTAGTTCTTCTGTCTTCCAATACTTTGCGATGAGTATTCTTGCTGCTGTCGTAGCATACATAAAAAAAGTTCTGTCTTTCTTTGATACCAATTGGCCGGCAATGCCCAAGAGAAAGGCCTCTGGTTTCTTCAGGAAAGTACATTTAAGTACCTTTTTCATTTCATTATATATCATTTCCCAGAAAGCCTTAATCTTTGGGCACGTCCACCAAAGGTGATAAAAAGTACCTTCAGTTTCTTTACACTTCCAACACTTATTATCAGGCAAATGATAAATTTTTGCTAGCTTGACTGGAGTCATGTACCACCTATAGATCATTTTCATAATATTTTCCTTTATGGCATTACATGCCGTAAATTTTATACCGGTGTTCCACAACCATTCCCAGTCAGCAAACATAATGTTATGACCAATGTCCTGTGCCCACTTAATCATAGCTGATTTAACTGTTTCATCTTGTGTATTCCATTTCAGCAGCAAATTATACATTCTTGACAAGTTCTTAGTATTGGGTTCTAACAGTTCAGTTTCTAATTTTGATTTCTCCACCTGGAAGCCAATTTTCCTGTCTTGTTTATACACCTCCATTATTTGATAATAATGGAGCCAATCTCGTACTTTGGGTTTCAATTTCTCATAGCTCTGTAGCTTCAACTTATCTCCATCTTGTTCCAAAATTTCCCGATACTTTAGCCATTCGGCTTCCATATTAAGCTTTTTCAACGCCGTAGCTTCCAAAGGTGACAACCATCTAGGGGTCTTACTTTCCACCAAATCTTTATATCTTATCCAAACGTTATATAATGCTTTCCTGACAATATGATTTTTAAAGGCCCTATGCACCTTAATTTTATCATACCATAAATATGCATGCCAACCAAATGTATTGTTAAAACCTTCTAAGTCCAAGATGTCTGTATTCTCGAGGAGCATCCATTCTTTCAGCCAGCAAAAAGCTGCTGCTTCATAATACAGTTTTAAGTCCGGCAGGGCAAACCCCCCTCTTTCTTTTGCATCCGTCAGTATTTTAAATTTTATTCTGGGCTTTTTGCCCTGCCAGACAAATTTCGAAATATCCTTCTGCCACCTCTTGAAACAGTCTATCTTGTCTAGAATTTGTAATGTTTGGAACAAGAATAGCATTCTAGGCAATACGCGATTTCTGTTCTCATCCTGAAGCAAAGTTCTTAACCCGAGGTACTATTTCTGGATTAGCAGAATCTGTAACCTGAAGCATCTGTAACCCCAGGCCCCCTGTATAATAAATACACCTCTGATTAGGCTTGTTGGACCAGGAATGTGAAAACAGAAATGAAACAGTAGACTGTCTGATGTTTTTCCTCAGCACATTCCAACCTTTCATGTGACATATGAGGAGGACATGCATTTTCCCAGGGCGATATATGCACCTCCTGGCTTCAAAAAGATGTAGTAGATGTGTGGTGAAAGAAAGCAAAAGTCATTAACGCTTCTTCCCTACATGACATTCAAAGCCATCTTACATCCAAGGGTTAGAAAATCAGCATGCTCTTTACAGGCCTAAATGTAATGCAGTTTTTGCAAAGCTAAATATTATGTATAGTGGTTAAAAAATCACCACACACCCATTCAAGTGATGGGAAAAGGGACATATACTGTAATACATGCACAAAATGACTTTTAACCTGAAAAGTTATTTCAGTTAGTGAGCCTTTAGCTCTTTCTTTCTCATTTCTCTTTGGCGTTTTTGGGTCATGATTTTCTCCAGCTCAATAACACAAACTATTTTGTTGGTGACCATTCTTTGCGCCTCATAAAAGTTGTGGAGGAGAAAAGTCTAACCAGCCTAATTAGCTTCTAGTATGATGCAATAAAGCTGAGATCTCAGTTAGTCAGGAGGGTCAAACGCTGCCCTCTCTAGTGCAAAGAGTAAAACAAAAGTAAAAAACCCCACAAGACTTTAATCTCTTTATTAATAGATTCTCTGAGGTTGGAGAAACAGATTAAAAATTACGCCATCAAAGAGACTGCACCTGCCACATTTCCTTTTGCAAATGTAAAAGCCTCAGAGTATTTTCAACATGGTGAAGAATCAAAATGAGAGGAAGGGAAAGCAGAAGCCTTAGAAAGCTGCGTGACCTGGCATCGCTACAAATTAAAATAATCAGTACTTCCCCATTTCAAAAGAATTCTTTGTATATTAGAACTGTCATCTGTCTTTTAAACATTGCTGTACAAATTGTTTGTTCCCTTCACATCTGGTGCCTCAAGTGCACATTCATTAGTGATACGCTTCCCGTTAGAATAAAAGGCCAAAATGTCAAAGTATTTGTTAACGAACATAAAAAAACCAAAATAAAAAGACTAGCATGATTAGTATGTTCTTCCTCTTCAGCATTCCTTCCTCTTCCCCCCCTGTAGAGTTTCCAGTGAAATGAGGCGGCATCGGAGGCTCAGAAAGACACAGATGCTTTTTCTTCTTCTTGCCATGTTCTGTTTTCCCTTTTCCAGGGCAGACCCACCACTAGGCACTGTGCAGCAGCCATTTCTAGCAGCTGGCTGTTACTTCTTAATTTATCCTTATTGTATTTTTGCTCCCAGGAAGAGATGCTTGTGAGATTTCCTGCCTCAAGTGCCAAATACCTTGACTAGGCTTGGATGCTATGGGGGATCAGGGGCACCTGCTGTCATCCCTCAGACAGCAAAATGTTTTGGACCAGCCCTGAAAAGCCATTTGATCTTATTAATGATTTCCCATCAATTTCAAGTTAACAGGAAATGATATAACATTTCACAATGAACTCATTAAAGCTATTACTCTATAGGAGGCAGACTCTACTTAGCAAAATTCAGCTACAACCAACTTTTGTTGTTAGTCTGAATTAGTGGCTTGCAAATGTCGAACCACAAAGTGGCAACTTAAGCTGTGTGCAATGGCCACTGGGTGGAGGGGGGGGGGAAATCCAGTAGAAGAGATGAGAGGGTTACATGTACACTTGACTCACCAATAAAGTTTGACAAGGAGGACTTCTCAGTATCAATCTGATATGAGGCAACTCAGCATCCGCCATTTGCCTTGCTGCACTGAGATATGCATCTAATGAAAAACAGGACATACTGCCATCACAGCTAGTTTAAGCTTATTTATTGCCCAGGACCCATCAAATGCGTATTCAAAGTGCCTCTGGTTCTGATTCTTCTGTAGTCACTAGTGATATATATTTATATCTCTCCCTCTGTGTGTGTTTTGGTGGTTTTTTGTTTTTTTAAGTCATAATACAGTAAATAAAACCCATAGTAAACCTAAACACTGCAAAAGAAGATGGGATCAAAACATCCAGTGCTGCAATGTATCATGAAATCTCCACTATGGTACAATCCCACCTCAGTGGAGGACTCAGTTATGTTACCCTATGATTTATGACAAAAGACCACAAAGGCAGTTGGATGTCCAGTTAATGAATACAAATAGCAGCATACCCACAAAAGTATCAGACTTTACCAAAGCCCAGTACAGTCTATTTTGTTAGCTTCTCAATGCCAGATTCTACACTTTAGTCCAGGCTAAATAGTGTTTCACATCTCTAATGATGAGCTATTTCTAGCTTTGCAACCAGCAGAAGAATTATTGTGGGGCAAGTGGCTGCAGATCCTCTGGAAAAAAACTGACGTTTTAAAAAAATTATCTCTAGATCCATGGTTCCCAATGTGGGGCACACGCTCTACAGGGGGGAAATTTTATTTTTAAGGAGGGCCATTCGAGAATGAATTATTAACAGTTAATGGCCTTTTAGGCTTCTTCTATGTGAATAGTTCATTTTTTTAATAGTACGAATTATATGTCATGGGGAGGGCATCGGGATTTTAGAGATGCTTAGGTGCGGCATGGCCAAATAAAAGTTAGGAACCACTGCTTTAGATGGACTCTAAATCCAACATCAAATCTACCAATTAACCAACTAGCTGTTACTGTAGACACTGAAGCCCCGCATCTCCGAAAGCAGGGCTTGATGGAGTTGCAACATTTGAGCTTGCCTGGGTGCTGTCATACAGCAAATACATTGCTGGAACTCCTGGAAAGGTCCCTGTGGGGTCAGAGCTTGATCCCAGAAGCAGAGAAGGGCACAGGTAGCTTGGAGGGAAGGAGAGAACCATGCGCCACTTGGGTAGCCATGCGAGTCCTATAGTTCATCCTGACCTTGCTGGTCTTCTCTCTGTGGAGGTGCCAAGCACAGGCAGGCAGCTTCAGCGCCATCTGCTTACTACAGGTCACTAAACATTTGAAGGCTCTTTCTTCAGCTAATTTTATTTGTGCTATTACACAGAGATCCTTTCAAGATGGAATGCATGCTGGAGAAGTGGAAAA